AAATCGGACTCATAGACACGAGACAAACTCTCTCAAATGTTCACACACTCTCCCAAGACGTAAACCATACACACGGCAGAGTTGACCAAACACATACACACAACCTGACACACACACACTTCCATAGATATACTCCCCTGGATGGCCTACATACACTTTTGCGATAAGTGCTGTTAGTGAGGGCCTATTAAGGCCAGCACGGTGCACTCGGGAGTGGTGTCTCCCCACTGCTCATGTTTATTACATACTGCACCAACTACTTGTGTTCAAAGCGGAGTTGACCTACAGGATGGCCCAGAACCAATTAGGCTATCACTCGCCACTGATCTTATTGTGGGAGTCAAACTAATGTTGCTGCACCACTGTCCCCACATATACACACGGGGGATGAGTTTTTAATGACATTCTTTTTATTTCAGATCTTTGGTTTCCAGGCCCAAATTTGGGTTTAATTGAAATTTTAAGAACTCTCATTGTTAATACACTAAATGTAATCACTTTAATAATTTAAATGTATAATTGATTAAAATTTTTAATAGAAATTCCCATCAGGAAAATACTAATATTCATGTACTGTATATATTTTAACGTTTTAATAATTAAATAACAAGTGATCACAATGTAAAAACTACGTCATATGACTGCACTATTAGCAGGAAAAGCACGGAAGTGACATCATGTTAAGCGATGTCACATTTTTGATCAATTTAAATCATTAAAAAAATTGATCATCCGAAATTTCACATCTAGGCCCGATTTTATGATAATTTGAATGAAATAAAAATATGGGAACACTCCCCGAATACACAAGCTATGACTCAATCACAAAAGCATGCCTGGCATACTCAGACACACAATGACAAAAAATCCCCCCTATAGCCTCAACAGACTGTTGGGGCAAGTGCTGTTAGTGAGCACCTATGAAGGCCGGCACTGCAAACGAGGAGGTAGATGACCAGAACCACGCCGGACCGTCTTTGTCTCCAAAGTGGCGATGTTTACACATCGCACCCGGTACTCATTGAGGCAGAGTCGACCTCAGGGAGGCCCAGGACTCGTTCAGATAATTGTCACTGGTGTTGGCCGTGAGCGGGAATCGAACTCGGGTTACCGGGTTCGCAACACAGTGCGCACTAACCGCTACACTACCACTCCCCACGCAGACCACACTCAGACACACGCTTCTGCTAATGTACCATGAGCACACACTTAGACACACTCTCCCACAGATATAAATCATGGGCCTCAAACAAACGCACACACGCACACACACACTCCACTCTCCAGCACCTACAGAAACACTCTCGCTCATTAGCACACTGGACAGCACACTGTGCTCAAACAAGATCTTTAAATCCCAAAACACCTTCGGTCTCCCCTGCAGATAGTCACAGTGAAATATATGCCAATTAAATCAACAACGGGAGGGAGCATGTGATAGTCCACGTGCATTCTCTTGTGACGTGAATGCACACCGCGTATACACACGGCACGCAACCCCATGCGCGTGCAAATAATGCAATGTGTACGTCGTACAAACATACGACTGTTGACATTACTTACCTACTACTATCCCAAAAAACGAAAAACAAAGCCAAAAAAAATCAAATCCCCAAAAAACCCAAAACCATTCAAAGAAACCCAAAAACTCCAAAAAACCTAAAAAAACCCACTAAAAACCTTAAAAAATACTAAAAACCTAAAAAAATCACTAAACAGTGAAAGAAAAAGGTTGGGGAATTTGGTTAGGAACGTCCGAGATTCGTTTGATATTCACAACCACATCACTTACACGTCCCAAACCAACTGATCTGCGAAGAAGCTCTGACTTTTTGTGAATTCCTGCAACAAACCTCACTTCAGCTGTTGGTGAGCTTCACAGAGTCATAGTTGGTTTGAGAAGTGAGGGCGATGTGGTTTCGAAATACAAGCCGGCTTAGTTTCAAACGTAGGGTATCGCGACCAATATTATCCATTCGAGGTTTTTGGGTTAGTAAATATAAATGCGTCGTTAAACCCGCCACCAACCAACACAGCCAATTAGTGAGGTTTGTCACGTAAACAAAACATCACAATTCGTTACTCGTTCAGCACACCGGTGTGTTGGAGAGTAAACCCACAACATTGACAATTTCAAGTAGGACATTTCGCCGGTGATTACAACCACCATCATCTGGCTTAGTTCCAAATCAGTGTGATAATCGCGTATCTGGACACATTCATTTTTACGCAATTTAATAGCTTCAGCTGTTTCCCATTGTCATTGCACGGCTGTGAAACGTGAACTCTTAAGAGCCGTGACGGAGAAGCGTCAGCAGGCATTTGCAATTAAATGTTACCGTCAGATCCTGCGGATTTCTTATCCGAAACAGAAATCAAATGAACGGGTGTCGCAGACGATTATGAACGCTCGATAGCTGGGGATACAGGAGTCGCCTCTCTTTAACGCCGTCGTCAAGAGGAAATTGCAATGGTTTGGCCACGTGATGGGGAGCAGCGAAGCCTTTGGAGCACCAGCCCTGCTGTATTCCATTCGTGGAGCGACGGCAGGAAAATAAAAATAAAGAGAAAGACGAGCGAAGACCTGCCTCGAAAATGTGGGACTTGGAGTAACACGACCCGAGATCCCGGGTGCGCTCTTGCACAGCACACAGTACTTGGCCTGCGTGTTCACGCGTAGTGTCCATTGGGCTAAAACCGTGGTCACAATGTACATTGTGCACAAATACAATATAGTCCTGTACATGTACAGAACAATTGTCAACACAGTGTGCACACTAATACAGACGGTGTAGAGTGTACATCACCGCACGTCTGATTAGCACGGTTGTCTACGTACGGTGCGAAAGAAATTCAACATACGTACCTATAGATAACATGTTTAGACCTTGTGACTGTAGGGGTAAGTAGTGCAAGTGAGCATGCCCAACAGGCTTTGTCTATCCCCTGTGCTGATGTTCGTGACCACACTGCACCCGATGCAGTAATGTGCTTATATTTTGCTGGGGCAACCTAGTTGAGGTCCAGAACAAGCTCAGTTATTAAAACTGTTATTCTGCATCATAGCGAGGAATAGAACCCAAGTCTTCACACCTCATAGTACTTAATTTCGTTTCAGCCAACCACTCTGTCTCTCTGGCCTATGTGCTGTCTGGGGCCATTGCCCAAAACGTCGGTCGGCCTTTTTGCTTTTTAAGGCCACAGTGTTATTGACTAATATGTTGAGTTTTTTTTGTTTAAGTCAACCAAGGGCTGGTTCGGATCAGCATGAGACATCAATTTACAACAGTAGTGACTTTGACCAGGAATTCAACCAGAGCAGCCACACCTGATGAGAGTCATGCCAGGGTTAATGAACCAATTTCCATTAAATTTCGATTTAAAGCTTTCGTGACTGCAGGGATTCATATTCTTGGTTCTTTCGGTAAAGTCACGTATTTTATTGTTTCCCTTCTACGTGACTTTACCGAAAGAACCAAGAATACAATTTCCATTGGTTATTGTGACCAGGAATACAGCCAAAGTAGTCACATCACGTCACATCAGGTACTCCCACTTTAGGCTGAGTCAACCTAAGGGAGGATGAGGCAAAGTTCAGATTCCAATTTCCACTTGGTGATGAGTGTGGCGCAGAAAGTTAACTCGCTGGTCAGGGGAGACCACTGAAGAAGTCTCCATGGCATCATCAAAACAATGGTTATAAAAGTCATGGGAAGAACTGGACTGGACACTGGGGGACGGTTTTGAAGAAGGATATTATGCAAGGAAGGCAAAAGAACGAGGGAAAGACCAAGGATTGGGATGTTGGAAGAGTTGAAGGAAGAAGGGTCGTGTTTGGTGACGAATAACAGGGCAGAAAAAGCGAGGATGGAGAAGATGGTAGCCAAAGAGCTGCCGTGTAGACAGAGCAACCAGGAGGATGAGGATGATGATTGTCGCAAGAAATCCAACTCTGGTTCGAGCACACAACACATGGCACTCGCGTAACACGGAATGGACATCGGGGAAGGACAAGCTCAGGTTCAAATAGTATCAATTTTCACTGGTGATGAAACGAAATCGTAAATGTGGCCAAAACACATAAAATAATCATCATTCAAATGTAATAATGCGCATTCCATTCTACATACACATCCCCCAGAGGCCGCGATTATATGTGCTTTAGCATCCAGTCCCCTGGTGCGTATCTGCTTTGCCAATCTCACCCTGTTTGTCACTCAGCCATGTCACATTGTCTTGTCAATAACCCATATCACCTAATCTTTTTTTGATCCATCATTGCCAGTTACCCTAACATGTCCACCTGTCAGGTCAGGCGGCATTGTCACCATACCTTGTAACTCACCCTCCCCGACTTGTCAGCCTGACTGCCTCGTCACCCACGAACCCTCATCATCCAGTGTCACCCACCCTCTGTCGCAAGCCTGCCTTCTTACCCTACCTTGTCACTCAACACATTTCACCTTGCCTTATCGCCCACCCTCATTACCAATCCTTGTCACCATGGATTGCCACCCAGTCTTGCTTCTTCTCATCCTTGACACCCAGCCCAAATCACCTAACAATGTCACCCACCCTCATCACCAGGGCCTTACTGACCTGCTTGGTCACCCTATCGAGTTATTTACCCATTGTTGTCACCCTCTCGTTACCCATGTCGTTCACAATTCCGTGTGAATGACATGAACACCCTGCCATTGTCGTTCACCCAGTGAAATATCGCCCTTCATCACCACCCACCCTGACCTGTGACACCCACCATGTCACCCACCCCACGTAGTCACCCTATATCATCACCCGGTACAGTACTGTCACCCGTCCTCACCACCTTAACATGTCACGACACTTCCATGTCACGACTCTCGTCATCGACTACAACGTCAGTGTGGAGTTGTCTGTGGCTGTCTCTGTGCGTGTCTGCGTGTGGTGTCTCCCAAGGTCTCTGTGATCAGCTTTAGAGGAGGTGGTGGCTGCATGATGCCCGTGTGCCTTCAACTCACCGCTGCGTGTGGAGATGTCAACGTTGGTCCAGTCACCAACAGCTCCGCGCAGCATGTCCCGGCAACACACTCACCATTCACTCACCCACCATTCACTCACCACTCGCTCACCACTCACTCACCATTCACTCACTCACCATTCACTCACTCACCACTCACTCACTCACCGCTCACTCACTACTCACTCACCCGCTCACTCACCACTCACTCACCACTCACTCACTACCCACTCACCGCTCACTCACTCACCACCCACTCACCCACCCACTCACCCACTCACTCACCCACCACTTACTCACTCACCCACCCACCCACTCACCACTCACTCACTCACCCACTCACCACTCACTCACCCACCCACCACTTACTCACTCACTCACCCACTCACCACTCACCCACCCACTCACCACTTACTCACTCACCACTCACCCACCCACTCACCGCCCACTCACCGCTCACTCACCACTCACCCACCCACCCACTCACCCACCCACTCACCACCCACTCACCCACCCACTCACCGCCCACTCACCACTCACCCACTCACTCACCGCTCACTCACCACTCACCCACCCAACCACTCACCACCCACTCACCCACTCACTACTCACTCACCCACCACTCACCGCTCACTCTTCTTACACGCGCTCGCCACACACCGTCCACATCGTCATTACAAACACGGCGGTCTCTTCGCCATCGCCACTGATGTCTTCAGGCAGTTTCTGGAGCGTAGATGCCTTGACAGACAAGGCAGCTGTCCTTCCGAAGGGGCTTGACACAGTCGGCTGAGTTAATGACTAGATTACTGGGCAGCCAGCTGACTTAGCGGCTAACGCGGTGGCCGAGTCGCTAGCTGACCATCTGACTTCGTGTTCAAGGTGATCACTGAGCGACTGACTGACCTGCCTTGAAGGCTGGCTGCCTGCACCGCCGACTAGCTGGCTAAGACGACCCCGTGGCTAACCTGACGACTGAGTGACTGCTATCTGGCACGTCTGTCTAACTATCTGGCTAGTTGGCTATCTTGTACATCGAGCTATCTGGCTTATCAGTTGACCCGGTGCCTAATGGCTTGAAGCGCCCGACCAGTCGACGCGCCTGACTGACGAGCCTAAGACTCGGCTAATTTTGCCTGTCCGTGTGGCCGCGTCTGGCTCTGGGGCTCCCGGCTGCGCTTGCCCGCAGAGGCGGCTGGCTATCCTCTTTGGCTTAAGGGGACGCCTCGGTGGCGAACGTTGACGGCGGTTCAAGTCGCCGAGGCTGGGGGCTGCATCACATCGCAAGGCTAAACCGGTCGAATCGGCGATTAAAACCCGACGACTAAACTCGCGTCCTATGTCCTCCGGTCCGTCGCTCGGTCCGTCGGTGAAGCTAAGTCGCGCCCCGGGCTGGTTCGGGGTGTTCGCCCGGTCGACCAAGAACAACAACAACGACGACGACGAGAACGAGGAGGAGGATGATGATGAGGAGGAGGATGATGATGAGGATGATGAGGAAGATGTCTCCCCGCCTTGCCGTCTGGCTCGCGTCTCTCTCGGCAGAGAAATGAGAGCTCGGCTCGAGGCGGCGGGCGGTGGGGGGGGGTGGGAAGCCGAGCCCAGCTGTGGCCACGAGGAGGCGCCAGGCACACGGGGGCGGGTGGCGGTCAGGCTCGTGGTGGACGGGATACCGCAAGGTAATGTGCCACCCACTGAGATGCACACAGCTCTCTGGGTTGGCTCTTTTTTTTCTTTCCAGAAGTGACCTCGGTGATGGCAGCTCAGCGAAAGTGGCTTATCGTGTGGGCATTTATAGCGGGAGCCATCATGCTCCGAACGCATGTTTCTAAATATGGAGAGGGGGAGGGGGGAAACGGAGGAACCTCGGATGAAAATCCACGCGAAAATCCAAATATGACTGCGATGCAACAGTCCACCTGGTACCAGCACGCGAGCTGATTTCATCGCTGCTTCTCATCGCTTTGAAATAATTTATTTTAAACGTTGCATTTATGGACATAAGGCGTGGTGAAATAATACACTGACCACTTTTGTTTTTCCATAAGTGTTGTTTGTTTTTCCATCAGTGTTTAGGTCCTGTCTAAAAAAAAAAACCCCGACAACCCAATGACAATCGTGCAACAGTGCACACGGTTGATGAGACTCAGAGACATTGAAACCATCCGTAGTTTTCCTTCTCGTTGCTTTGCTGCAGGAAAACATTGCTCCGGTAAAGGTTTACAGTTTTTTAGAGTAAACTCGCATTCATTTACTTTGTTTGTCCAGAGCCATACCCCCGAGTCTTTAACGTGTTGTTACGTGTTGGAATCTGAGACCGTGTGTGTGTCTGTCCATCAGGAGAATGTGTCAACGGGTTTATGGGCGTTTACGGCATTGGAAGCACGGCATAGTGTGAGTAAATCCTCATCGCCTTCAGGTTGTGATGAGCACAAAAACCCACGTGCCTTTCTACGTTCCAATAATTTCTTCTCGAACAAAAATATCTGCGGATGCATTTTAAAAAAAACACACAAAATGCCACACTAATACTGTTCGCAAGCATTTAGCCAGCGTTTGTGTGGTAACAATGTACAGTGAGGGAAAAAAGTATTTGATCCGCTGCTGATTTTGTACGTTTGCCCACTGACAAAGAAATGATCAGTCTATAATTTTAATGGTAGGTTTATTTGAACAGTGAGAGACAGAATAATTACAACAAAAATCCAGAAAAACGCATGTCAAAAATGTTATAAATTTATTTGCGTTTTAATGAGTGAAATAAGTATTTGACCCCTCTGGAAAACATGACTTAGTACTTGGTGGCAAAACCCTTGTTGGCAATCACAGAGGTCAGACGTTTCTTGTAGTTGGCCACCAGGTTTGCACACATCTCAGGAGGGATTTTGTCCCACTCCTCTTTGCAGATCTTCTCCAAGTCATTAAGGTTTCGAACCTGACGTTTGGCAACTCGAACCTTCAGCTCCCTCCACAGATTTTTTATGGGATTAAGGTCTGGAGACTGGCTAGGCCACTCCAGGACCTTAATGTGCTTCGTCTTGAGCCACTCCTTTGTTGCCTTGGCCGTGTGTTTTGGGTCATTGTCATGCTGGAATACCCATCCACGATCCATTTTCAATGCCCTGGCTGAGGGAAGGAGGTTCTCACCCAAGATTTGACGGTACATGGCCCCGTCCATCGTCCCTTTGATGCGGTGAAGTTGTCCTGTCCCCTTAGCAGAAAAACACCCCCAAAGCATGTTTCCACCTCCATGTTTGACGGTGGGGATGGTGTTCTTGGGGTCATAGGCAGCATTCCTCCAAACACGGCGAGTTGAGTTGATGCCAAAGAGCTCCATTTTGGTCTCATCTGACCACAACACTTTCACCCAGTTGTCCTCTGAATCATTCAGATGTTCATTGGCAAACTTCAGACGGGCATATATATGTGCTTTCTTGAGCAGGAGGACCTTGTGGGCGCTGCAGGATTTCAGTCCTTCACGGCGTAGCGTGTTACAAATTGTTTTCTTGGTGACCATGGTCCCAGCTGCCTTGAGATCATTGACAAGATCCTCCCGTGTAGTTCTGGGCTGATTCCTCACCGTTCTCTTGATCATTGCAACTCCACGAGGTGAGATCTTGCATGGAGCCCCAGGCCGAGGAAGATTAACAGTTCTTTTGGGTTTCTTCCATTTGTGAATAATCGCACCAGCTGTTCTCACCTTCTCACCAAGCTGCTTGGCAATGGTCTTGTAGACCATTCCAGCCTTGTGTAGGTCTACAATCTCGTCCCTGACATCCTTGGAGAGCTCTTTGGTCTTGGCCATGGTGGAGAGTTTGGAATCTGATTAATTGATTACTTCTGTGGACAGGTGTCTTTTATACAGGTAACAAGCTGAGATTAGGAGCACTCCCTTTAAGAGTGTGCTCCTAATCTCAGCTCGTTACCTGTATAAAAGACACCTGGGAGCCAGAAATCTTTCTTATTGAGAGGGGGTCAAATACTTATTTCCATCATTAAAATGCCAATCAATTTCTAACATTTTTGACATGCGTTTTTCTGGATTTTGTTGTTATTCTGTCTCTCACTGTTCAAATAAACCTACCATTAAAATTATAGACTGATCATTTCTTTGTCAGTGGGCAGACGTACAAAATCAGCAGGGGATCAAATACTTTTTTCCCTCACTGTAATTTTTTTCCTGTCAATTTTCATTTGGATTGGCATTACTACACTTAAATTACGACCCCCAAAAAATGCCACGATAAAACTCAATGTGATTTACATGTGTATGCCCTGTCAGTTACAGCTGTCTCATCTCTTATTATGTTTAACGTGATATATTTTATGACATTGGTGTCACACTGAGGCAATGCGTCTCAATCATGCCTTGCCTGCACCAACCCACAGCTTTCCTGTTCAATCGAATACTGCTGTAAAACATTGGTCTGGAAGGACTACAGCTTTCACCTTAATTCGGAGCTTTAGGCTGGCAATAATAAAGCCTCAATGTTGTGTTTGCTTTGATCTCAAGAAAATTCGTAATTCACATTGTGAAAATAGTGGCAGGCGTGTATGTGTGTGTGTGAGATAGTTGAATACATCGATTCGGACGTGTAGCCTCTTGCACGATTACATACACACATGCTACAGATGACGATAGACAGCTGTTGTGTACTCTTTTAAGTGAATATTTCATACACCTCTGGCGAAAAAAATTGTTGTGTCCACGCCTGAAAGATTGTGCTCGCGTAAAAACATAACTTGGCAATCACAACTGAGGTGGAAAATCCGTCCGAGGATTAGGTAGGCAGGTGCTGGCTGACGTCTGCATACGTGCAGCTTTGGCATGCCATTCCTGTACACTTGCCGTAAAAAACAACACACACACACACCCCTCGAAAATTACAGCTGGGCAAGTTGAAGTTTTGGGGGCAGGGATTTATGTCGGTATTCGTCAGAAATGTTCACCTTCGAGTTAGAGCCTCTTCTCGCACAGCGTTACACGGAACCGTGCGCGCAGCCGACGCCAATTGAAAAGTACGCACACGTGTACCAGAATGTGGTGGCGTAAGGGGTGGAGCAAAATTGCGAACTTCTGGTTTAACTGGTAGCTCTGGTTTGCGGCGCTAAAACAACCTTTGAGCAGGGCCACCAAAC